ATTTTTGACAGCACGTGTATAATTCGGATTTTCGGTGCACAGGATTACTGCACAATATTCGAGAATATTTTTACGTGTTCCATGTATTACGTTACTGTTTTTTTTATGAAATAAAAATTATTCGTATTTAATCAACAACATTGAAAATTGAAAGCCCGAATAATAGATATTCTCTTTTATTCTCTTTTTATTTTATATTCACAAAATCACTAATAATACGATATGTTTAAAACACATTTCAAAGATAGGCTGTCAAGTGATAAAGTTCAAAGATATTTTCCATAATGGGTTTCTTGCATTACATAATTCGTTAAACACGTCCGAGCAGCTAATTTTTATTTCCATCTTCTTTTTTTGCCATTTTCAAACAGAACGCGCGTCTGGTCGCGCCACGTGAGAGATTTTTTAAGATGGGATTTTAACGAGCACGTAGGATATTTTTCAGAGTCTTCCTTCACCAGTCGCCTTAATACTTTTCGCTCAACTCCTCTTGCGCATCGGACGTGCTCTCGAACTTTAAAACACATCCCGCCGTTCAATCTCCCCGCAGTTCCACCCTTCGCGTGCCAGGATTTTCACACGACAAAAATAACGAGATGCATTCAATGGAGTGCAGTCGTCGCCCGCACTCGCACGTATCTATAACGAGTACACGTGGCAGAATGTCGTTGCTAGACAATTTGTTAGCTCCGAGCTACCCTTTCGTTCATTTCATTCATTTGATCTTTTTCTTCGATTTCATCTCATTACGCAGTTTCCTTTTAAATTTTTCACAAATTACAAACCTTGTCAAACGCTAACGAATTTTAAAAAAAATACATACCGGTTTTTTGTAAAAATAGAAGTTTAATTGGATTCTGGTTTAATTGGATTTGCTGGCAAAAGTCATAGTGTATGTGAAAAGTACGATGTTTTTTATAAATTGATACAGTAAAAAATAAAGTTTTATGTGAGAATATTTTTAAATGTAACGTAGATAATTTGTGTATAAACTTACAAATACGTTTTATCTTCTTTTATAAACGAATTGTTAAAATGATAGGAACTCGTAGAATATTGTACAATTAAACTTTCTGTTTAACTTGTGCACAATGTGTACATTTTGTTTTATAAACGAATTGTTAAAATGATAGGAGCTCATAGAACATTGTACATACAATTAAATTTTCAGTTTGATTTGTTTCGCATGTACAGTTATTCTGCTTGTAACAAATTTTATAAAGCATTCTTTTATTAATTACTAGATGCAATTATCAGTGCGGTTGGAGCATCACGGGTCATAAATTAATTACTTAATTAAACAGTCTTTTAATATATTGTGAAAAGGCTATTCCGGACTTTATGGCATTCCAACAAATAAACAAATTTATAGCATTGCATAAATTACACAAATTACACAATTGCTATTTCCGAAAATTAAATAATAGATATTTAATTAAAAAATACTCTTTTATTCTTTAGTCAACTAATTATCTCTTCACGAAAGAGCACATTAGTAATATGCTTGTTCTTTGTCTTTTGTTATCGAACAAAGAAAAATTCAAAGTAACAAAGCCATTAATTCTAACTTTGATCGATCAGCGAGGAGATACCTTTCGCCACTTTATTGTGAACGAAACGAGTGGCGTCAATTAATCTATTAAATTAAGTGATCAGTTAAACTCCACTTTTTTCAACATTATTAACTCCCACGAAGAAAATTCGTATTTTTCAGCGCGTAACTCGTTTAGTTTCATGTGCAACAAGTTAATAGGCTTTTTTTTGTGACCATGCGTGTATACGTTAACTCGACTCTCGAAAAAGTAAAAGGGAGGATCGTTACGTGTGTGCGAACGTTATTTGAATGATAGAACGTATCCGATGCGAATGATGAGAGTTCATTGCCCGTTCGCTTCTCGAATCGCAGATTCGTGATTGGTATTTACGTCGCGACCGTGTCTACCATAAACGCGAAACTATGGTGTTTATTGACGATACCAAGCGAACGCGGACTGAATGAACATCCGCAAATTCACATTTGGCGTATCTATCTGCGATTTTATAGCACTACTAGTTACATTCTCCTTTTTCCGGGCCGTAGAATTTTCTATCTGGAACGTGAACAAACAAGTTTAAAATTATGATGTATTTATATTTGATTTAAAAAAAAAATAAAATTATTTTTTTTAATTATTTTTTGGAAATTCTCCCGTTTCTCAGGTACAAAATTAGGAGTTTGAAATAGGACGAAACATTGCAGTGTTTTTTATTCGGCCTATCAGTTTCGCGCTGCGAATCATTTTGAACAAAAAGAGGCTCCTTTTGAAAGCGGAGAGTTTTAGTCTTCACGGTGCGCAGTGGTCGAATCAATAACGGATGGCGCGAGCGAGACGGATAGACGTAGACTAGATAGGAATGTTGCGGATGGAAGAAAGGAAAGAAAGAAGAAACAAAGGAGGCCAAGGAGAGAGATTCAATTTGGAGCTCTTGCACGTTTGCTCACGCGCTCGCCGATATAGCGCGTCGATAAGCCGACTCTAGCTGATTATTTTACGAGAGTATCACGGAGTATCGGGCCGAGCTTTTCCGCCAACATGACAGCCGTCAGACCAGCATGGACTCGTTTTGTCGGTTCCTGTACAACGTTGTTATCGCCGTTGTCGTCTTTCTCAGGATGATCAGTGAGTAGCGAGAGCGAGACATCGATCGGGCGGATCCATAAATCATTTCGCAGAAAGAAATTATACTTGCGCGTAAACAAGTTTTGGTGATAAACTATTAACACAAAAAGGATTTTGCTGAAGTAACTAAAAATTTAGTTAGAAAAAAATTAATCTTAAAACTAATATTCTTATATATTAGTAAAAATATTGAATTAACTGATGAATTTGTATCGATTTTAAATCTTGAACTGAGTGCGAAGTAATATTTGCATCAACACAAATTCAATCAAATGAAGTCTTTGAAACAAGATTACAATATTTTTGCTTATATATTATTGTCAATTTAAGAATAATTTTTTTCCGTGCAGATACAGATTTGAAAGTAATTTTGTTGGACTATCAAAATAATTACGTAAAAATCTCAAGCATGATGAGCGATGCTGCAAAAGTTTTGACACTGTTGCAACCAATTTAAGCTACCTACATAATTATTTTCATGGTTCAACAAAATTATTTTCAGATCTGTATCTAATTAAATTTTTAGATATTTTAGCAAAACTGTCCTTTCTACGTAAGCATGAGTAATACTGCAAAAAGTTTTGACATTCTAGCAAACAGTTTGAGTGCTGTACAGAATTATTTTGATGATCCAATTAAATTATTTTTTTTATCTGTGTCTAGCTAAATATTTAAATGCTTCAAAATCGTCCTTTCTGTAAAAGAATGGCTTTCGAAAAAGCGTTACTGAAATTAGCGACTCTGCACGCGAAATGTGTTTTCTATTAGTATTCGTTAAAAAGCTATTTGTGGATTTTTTACTGTATCGATAATTCTACCAAACAGACATGTATGTGAGCAATCATAATGGCCGTGCAATGTAAATTCCCGCGACCAGGAGCTGTATATTAATGGACGAGCTGTACTCCGCTAATATTAACCGCGCTGAATAAATTTTATTAGTATTCCATGCGAGTTACCGCGAAGATAGTCAGAATATCGCATAACCGCGACTGCAGTATTTAACTTGGCTATCTATCCCATGCGAGCTTAAAGCTTAACGCTCGTGCCATTACTCTCTGCTGCCAGATAATACCTCTCCTTCGACGAACAAGCTTTGTTACCATAATCGTCGTCGCGATAGATTAACGCGAACTTAAATTGGATTTCGACTCGGTATTCGGTTTCTCGTTTTTCGTAAAAAGCACAGCTGAACTTTAGACAAGTCTTCAGACAAAGTATGACTTTGTCAGACAAGCAGCTCTCAATTTCTTAACGCTTACGTTCTATCCCATATCGGAAACTCGATTCTACGACGTGAAATACATCTGATATCGCCGGATTTCGTTTTAAAATGTTAAAATGGTGAGACGCGTTTACTCCGATATTGGAGACGGTCGGTCGCGTATCAATACCGTGTATCGGGCGACCTTTGGCGACGTCCCATGCATGCTCCGACAGCTGCGGTCGATCGCATCTGCTACCATGGTCTGCCATAACTCGGAGCCTTGACCTTTGAACCGTTCGTTATCTGTTGGTATTTAAAGCCGCGAAACCGCGCATAGTTGTGGCGTCGCACGCCACGCGAAATAATGAGGCCGTGCGAGGTTTCTGCGAAGTAATACTCCTCGAGAAAACGGGGTTCACCTTATTATCACGTGCAGTCACGTCAGTGAGAGAACGGCGAGTAGTTACGCATGCGTTTCATAAAATCGATGCCTAATTTTCTACGATGAGTGCGCGATACAATTGCTTCTAACAAATAAATCTCTCAAAGTTAATTTTAATTTTAATGAAACTTTATATACATATAGATTACGTAAATACATGAATTTAGAAAATATCAGTTGGGTCAATAAATAGTTTTAAGAGATGAAATCTCTTATACCTTATAGATAAAGCAGTTTTCAATTTTTTTTGTTGTGCTTTAAAACCTCAAAATATCCCGTCATAGAGACGTTCTCTTGTAACTCTTCTCGAATAAACCGCTACAATAGGGACTTTTAAAAACCGTGATATTTATTCTTTCTTGATTATTTGTTTCGTTGTTTTATGTTTCTACGCTCGATTTGCGTGATTGATGAGGATTATCGTAAAAATTGCTTTGAAAATTGTCTGAATAATTCCCGTCGATACAACGGGATTATATTGCATTGATGATATCTTCGATCGTTTCATTTCGTATATGTAGCAGTTAAGCAGGCACATATAAAAATAATAAAACATGCATATACTTTATGATAAAAAATTTTTATTTAGTTTATATAGGTTACAGAAAAAAATGTAGATAATGTACGTTTCCAATATATTTCAAATAACTGTGGAACATAATTTTAATAGAAAGTGTCGCTCTGTTTTCAGAAAATGGCCTCCTTTCCTTCGAAAATCCCAACTATCACCTAGATCCAGCTCGGTTGGACGATGCTCTGAACAGCAATGGAAACGGTAGTTCTCTGTACGATGAATTGTATCAGGAATTGGTCGGTGGCGGTGGCAGAAGCGGCGAGGTGACTGGCGGCGGCGGGGGAGGAGGTGGTGGAACGAGGGTGCAAGCACGCAGAACCTACGCCACATTGGATCTGGGGAGCATGGGGGTGGATGTCACCCAGGGCCCCCTGACGCAGGATTCCGTGACGGACGACGCTCCCGACAACACGGACAACCATAACCTAGGGTGAGTGCCATTAGCTCTGTCACGTTTGCTTCCTCTCTCTCTCTCTCTCTCTCTCTTTCTCTCTCACACACACACACATCCACTCTTTGGCGTTCGATAAATGGTTTCCCGATGCACGTTGATAGAACGATATTGCCGCGCGTGGAAATTAAGGGCGCGATAGGACGAGAATACGATAAAGTATCGTCGTTTCAACAGAAAAATGTGCCAACGTACGTTATCGCGATTTTACTTTCGATAACACAGAATTAATTTTTTATGAACCATTCGAGATTTCTTTCCACACAGAAGTGATAAAAGTGACGACAAAAATATGAAAGTGATTATCTAAAAGAGACTTACAGTTTTTTCCGATATTTGAAAGAATTATCTCGATATAATCCTGTTAGCAAAAAGAAATACATGTAATCATGATCATGAATCAGAAAGTAGCCTTCTATTGGGATTTTATTTTTTCATCTTGACCAACTGAGGTATCCGGGAGTCTCTTTCTCTTTTTCTCTAGAACGCAGGAAAATGGAATATGGCTTCCAGCAGCAAAATAGAAGCCGGTTCCTCGTCCTCTTTTTTTTTCCTGCGTAATATAAGGTCCGACTACCCATCGCGGCCATCGATAAAACTTTCGAGTCGGACCTCATCGGGATACCGCATAAAATTTCAATAAATCTAAAAGCGGGAAGATAGGGGCTGGAGAGAGAGAGAGAGAGAGAGAGAGAGAGAGAGAGAGAGAGAGAGAGAGAGAGAGTAATAGAACGGACGGTCGATGTTACAAGACAGTTCGAACTTATTCGCCACTGTTACATGAATTCGGTGCAGCCCCCGTTCAGCCGGAATTCACTTCTCTCTTCTTTCTCGTATTTCCATCGGGACTCTGTTCCATTGTTCAACTACGCTATCGAGTTTCTGGGGATATTTAGGATAACACAGAAACGCGATTCCGCTCATAAAATCGGAGACGTAACGGAGAAGAGCTGCAATCCGGCGTGCGTTCCAAGTTACTCATGAAGCGCATGCTGTATCGTGTTATCCTTCTTTATTATTTGGTAAATAGCAAGGACAAATGATGCATCATGCACTTTATGCGTAACTCGGAATACACCCCCGGCATAAGGAAACTCTTATAGAACGCTAATTATATTGTGAAAAAATTATAAAGTTATGAAATACAGAACCACGTCTGATTATCATTATACCTTATGTAACGTATTATACAATGATCCGATTGCTTTTGTTTGAGACTTTAAAAGTCCGAGCGTAATTAATTTTTAATTTCTTGCGGAAGACATATGGATGTTGTACAATGTTTCCCATTTTTAGCATTGACTTTTATTATTTTTACACAAATCTGCTTATTTTCTGATACTTTATAATATCTAAGAGAGATTGTTGAACTCTTACGTCTTCATTAATCGTGGTAACGAGATTTTCCGAAAGGTCAAGACGATCGTCTTCCAATTCCAATCTACTTTCAGTTAAGATTGAAATTAGATTCATCTCTCCAGCCAGACTTTTTTCATAATTAGTTTTGAGTATCTCTTCGCTCTTTCGTTCAAGATGTTTCACTTTGAAAGATATCTGATTGAAATTTTATGTTTTAGTAATTATACTCTGAAGAATAAAATAACAGAACGAAAAATACATTCTAATTTTGATTAGTTTCTTGATGAATAATTTATCGGATTCAGGTTTTATCTTTATTAATATTTTATTAAACTTTATTAGTATTAAAGTTATTTACAGTTTTTCAGCATATTAATATCTTTTTAATAAGATACCAGATTGAGCATCAAATTATTAAAAATTGCTTGTCAATTTAATTAGCGATATTACTACAGTAGTTTAATTGCGTTTATAAGTCCGGAAAATCAATTCGACGCGCAGTTCGAAAGACTATAAATATATATGCAAGTGTATATATAGTAAATATAGTAATTCAGATTGAATTATTTAAGCATTAAAGATGTAGCTTTGATCGTTACGGCCATTACTTCTATTTCTTATTGTTGAATTTTCAAATGTACAGTCCAGTAAAATTCTTATTGTTCTTTTATTAATATTTTATTAATACCTTCTATTTCTTATTCTTTTATCAACCAATATAGACAGATATTCCATACTCGAAATTATCCGACTAAGTTATACCAGATTGAGCATCAAATTATTAAAAATTGCTTGTCAATTTAATTAGCGATATTACTACAGGAGTTTAATTGCGTTTATAAGTCCGGAAAATCAATTCGACGCGCAATTTGAAAGACTATAAATATATATGCAAGTGTATATATAGTATATATAGTAATTCAGATTGAATTATTTAAGCATTAAAGATCTAGCTTTGACCGTTACGGCCATTACTTCTATTTCTTATTGTTGAATTTTCAAATGTACGGTCCAGTAAAATTCTTATTGTTTTTTTATTAATATTTTATTAATACCTTCTATTTCTTATTCTTTTATCAACCAATATAGACGGATATTCCATACTCGAAATTATCCGACTAAGCAAAGATCACGTTACACCGATTTCGTTCGTTTTGTGGAAGAGTCAGGACGCATTAATGGTTAGCCGCGAAATTGTAAGAGAGTTTCTGCCTTTGGTATAATAAAAACTCCTTTCTTCTGGACCCTTAGACCCTTTCGCCGACTCGGAAATCCGGGCGAGCATAAAAATGCAATTAAGGAAACGCCCAACGTCTGGTTGCCTCCACGTCGTACTACTTCTTCTCAATAGTTCCTTTCTTTTGGATCGTCAATCTCCATTCTTTCATATTTTTCTTCAAGTTTATTCCCTTACGCTTTTAGTGTAATGCGCGACAATGTCCGTCAAAAAAGAATCAAAAGTCTGCCGCGCGATTTAGAAACGTTAGAGAGACTTTGGTTTAAAACGAAGCTCAGGAAGCTAGAATAGAATTTATTTCACGGTGAATGCGCGGCGGTACATATACTAGTGAAACAAAAGTATTATTAGACATTTCTGTCCGCCATTGAACGTGATACACGCGAAAAAGTTCATCCCACAAAATTCCTAGGGGGAACGCGCGACTCGTTTCCTACGCTGTGTAGCTCCCTTGTTCGCTGTGTTGTCGGCAAAATGGCGAAGTAAGGTAATGACGCTATCAGCCAACGAGAATACGGCGTTCCTGATCGAATTTTACGGGCATCGCGGCAGGGGAAGGACGAAAAGCGAATTTCACCGACGACGAACCGACAGCGAAGGCTTTCATCGCGGTACCACGTTAACTTGATTTACTTGATGTGCTCTTAACGTACGCAACGTTACATCGTTAAGCGCTTGACACATCCGGAGTAGAGCTCCATGTGTCTTCGGAATGCTGCCACGATTGCACTGATGCTGCGACGAAATTTCGGTAATTTTGCTTCCATTCGACGAATCTGCAATAAATAAATTGCGTTTTGATTTAAAATACGCTCAGTCGTGCGATCACTTTATAAATATAACGATAATGTTTTTTTTATTCTCCGAATAATTCGATATTTTCTTATGATAGATTTTTATATTTTTCTTTTATGAATATCATTGATATGGAAAGAATTTTCCTGAAGTATTTAAAAATTAAATAGACACAGACCTGAAAATAATTTTGTTAGATTATCAAAATAATTATAAAAACGTAGAAATCTCAAGATAAATAATGCTGCGAAACATTTTAACATTTTGGTAATCAGTTTGAATCCTATATAATTATTTTGATGATTCAACAAAGTAATTTTCTGTATCTAACTAAATTTTTAGATACTTTTGCAAAACTGTCCTTTCCGTGTGTTAGATCATCAAACTTTCGTCCTGTATATTCTGTATGCTCTCGTGGAATCATCAACTTTCTGCACGCAATGTACTGCAATCTCTGAAACGCATTAGCAAACCACCCCATCAATAACCACGCGGTTGCGTTGAACCCTCGCGAGGCACTCATTACGTAGCGAGGTGAGGTTAAACCGCTTTCGCTGATAAGCATCCCGGCATCAATAGTTTCTAGGAAAAGGAAAAACTTTGCGGAACCACACCATACAATTCTACTTTGGACAGCTACTTTGTCACCTTCTTGAAGCGGAAGGGGTGGGACGGGGCCAGAAGGCATAGAAACGCGAACTCGAATACGACGGGTCTGAGCACGAAACGTCTCGACATTTTCACCTCCGGCTGGATATTAGGCGATAAGCTGGCCGTACTGGGGTGCAAGGAGCCGAGAAAGGACCGGTGGTTGAGTCACGATAGGCTAGAAGGTGCAAGGAAGGTGGCACGGTATATTCATTTGTGTGTGTATGCGCGCACTTATATAACTGTGTGTGTTCGGAGATTGAACTCAATCTAAACTTGCGACGAACTTTGTCCGGGCCCCGCGCTATCTCTCATACTTCTGTCGATTCGCCATCTACAACCTCCGACCTTGTTCGCGATAGGGCGAAGGTGACGTCCCGAGACCAAACGGGTTACATTGGCGGCAAAGTGCATGAGGGAAACTCATCGGCTACGTGGAGGGAAAGAAAAAGCGTGTTCTTTGAAACAAAATCTTTGCTTCAAATTGTCCTATTCGAAAATATATTCATATATTGCATAATGAGCGCGCAGGAAAGAATTTATAGATAACTAGATAATATTACCGGAAATAAGACACGATGCAGAGGATAAAATCGTTATAGATACATAGCGTTGAAGAAACAATTCAGATGTTTTTAAAGACCCTAATAAAATCTGATCAAGTGATTTTTTGTCAAAATTCTGTAATAGAAAAAGATATATATGCATATTGTCTCCCTGTATATATATTATCTCATTCTATTTTTACTGTCTTACTCTCTGTAAGCTTAGGATAACTCCGGTATATACGCCGCGCTGGGATTTACGCCGCGGAAGTCAGAAAAAATAGAAGGAGTGGGGGTAATTTTCTCGCAACTACTCTGTTACATGCCTTTATGTTATATTAGTATTGAATTATAATTTCAGCTTCTTATACTGTTAATATTAGGTGTTAAACTTA